CAACAATGTTCACAGTGTCTTCACCAAAAGTAGATTCCATCTCAAGAAACCACATTCTTTGCTCATCCATAAGAAGCAACTTGTGCATTGAAGTTTGATCATGAGATTGCAGCAATTCAATCACATCTTCAGGCTCCACTGCTAATTCTAGTTCTTCTGCTATTTCCACCACATCTGCAGTGACTTCCTCCACTCAAGTCTTGAACACCTCAAAGTCATTCATGAGAGTTGGAATCAATTTCTTCCAAACTCCTGTTAATGTTGCTATTTGAACCTCCTCTCATGAACCATGAATGTTCTTAATGGTATCTAGAATGGTGAATCCTTTCCAGAAGGTTTTCAATACTTTGCCCAGATTCATCAGAGGAATCACTGTCTATGGCAGCTATAGCCTTACAAATTGTACTTCTTAAATAAGACTTGAAAGTCAAAATTGCTCCTTGATTTATGGGCTACAGAATGGACATTTTGTTAGCAAGCATGAAAACAACATTAATCTCTTTGTACATCTCCATCAGAGCTCATGTGTGATTAGGTGCATTGTCAATGAGCAGCTATTATTTTTGTTGTTGGTTTGTTTTCTAATTTTAATCTTATAATAATAATAATAATTATTATTATTTTTAGGCAAGTTCTCACTCTGTCACCCAGGTTGCAGTGCAGTGGTGTGATCTCAGTTCACTGTAACCTTTGCCACCCAGGCTCAAGTGATCCTCCACCTCAGCCTCCTGAGTAGCTGGGACTACAGGCACATGCCAACATGACTAGGTAATTTTTGTATTTTTTGTAGAAACAGGGTTTCACCATGTTGCCTAGGCTGGTCTTCAATGTCTGGGCCCAGGTATTTACCAGCCTCAGCCTCCCCAAGTGTTGGAATTACAGGCATCAGCCATTGCACCTGATTGAGCGGTAAGTCAGTACGCATCTTTTTTTTTTTTTTTTCTGAGCAGTAAGTCTCAACAGTGGTCTTAAAATGTTCAATAAATCACACTGCAAACAGATACGCTGTCATCTGGGCTGTGTCTTTCCATTTCTAGAGCACAGGTCGAGTAGATTTAGCATCATTCTTAAGGGACCAAGGATGTAGGAAATGGTCAGTGAACAGTGGCTTTAACTTAAGGCAACCAGCTGCATTAACACCTAACAGAAGTCAACCTGTGCCTCGAAGCTTTGAAGCCAGGCACTGACCTCTCCTCTTTAGCTATGACAGTCTTAGATGTCATCTTCTTCTGATAGAAGACTCTCTTATCTAATAAAATCTGTTGTGCAGAATAGCCAGCCATCTTCATCGATTATCTTAGATGTTCTGCATAAATTGTTGTACCTTCTCCATCAGCATTTGCTGATACACCTTGCACTTTTATGTTATGAAGACAGCTTGTTTCCATAAACATCCTAAAGCAGGCTCTGCTAGCTTCCAACTTTTCTTCTGCATCTCCTAAGCCTTCATAGACTCAAATACAGTTAGGGCCTTGTTCTGGTAATCTGGCTTTGTCTCTAAGGGAATGTTGTGACTAATTTGATCTTCTATCAAGAGCACTAAAACTTTCTCCATATCATCAACAAGCCTGTTCCATTTTCTTATTTTTCATGTGTTCACTGGACTACCACTTTTAATTTCCTTCATGGACTCCTCCTTTGCATTCAAAACTTGGCTGTTTGGAGCAAGAGACCTAGCTATCTGCCTGTCCCAGCTTTTGACACACTTTCCTCACTGATCTTAATCATTTCTAGCTTTTGATTTAAAGTGAGAGATGTGCAACTCTCATTGTACAGCGGTTAGTTGGTCCAATTTCCATATGGATGTGTCTCAGGGAATAGGGAGGCTCACAGAGAGGGAGACAGACAGGGGGATGACCCACTGGTGGAACTGTCAGAACACACACAACATTTATCCATTAAGTTTGCTGCCTTCCATCAGTGCAGTTCATGATGCCCCCAAACAATTGCAATAGTAACATCAGAGATCACTGATCACCACAACAGATATAATAATAATGAAACAATTTGAAATATTGTGAGAATTACCAAAATGTGACACAGAGACACAAAGTGAACACATGCTACTAGAGAAACAGGCTCCTTATAGACTTGCTCATTTCAAGGTTGCCACAAACCTTCAATTTACAAAAATGCAATGTTTGCAAGGCACAATAAAGCAAAGTAGAATAAAACAAGGTATATCTATACTCTGGTATTCACCCAAGATAGGTAAAATGGGACTATTACTCCCCTTTAATGAATGAGTCAAGTGAGCCCAGTCTATCTGTGAGTATCCTCAGGATGACTAAGCATCAGAAGTAGAACTCACATCTGAGACTCCTGATTCACTTTCGGGTCTTCCTATCATTGTGATTTACAAGGCATCACACTGGCATGGACATTTATTTGTACAGTACAAATGAGTCAATGGCAATTTAAATGGTCTGGTTCCCTACCATTCTTCAAAGGAAGACATGCTATAAAAAGAGAAAGTTACAATTATCAGAGATTGCAGTCCACAAAGGATAATGAGGAATAAATGTGTCTGTTAAATCAATTTTGAAGTTTCATTTAAGGAACCAATCAACCATTCTTTCAGACCTGAAGCTAATCAAAAGGCACTAACACTCAGACCTACACACAGGGGACAACACACCATAAACATCTGTTATTTAGATACCAGTGATGGAATTTCCCATCTGTTGCTTCAAAACAAATAATCATCTTTAAAAAATAACAACAAACATCACAACAAATTTTTCTTTGAAGATAATTTTAGGTTATTAAGATTGCCAGCTAAAATAACTGTTAATTTTTCAACAAGTCACAATCTAGCCGGACAAATCCATGGGTGTAGCATAAAGCTAAGTAAGGAATCTGGCTTGGAATTTTCAACACTTGGCTCTAATCATTAATGTTGCAATGTTGTCCCATTTACAACCTGACATTTGTTTTTGCACTTTCAACATCTCATGATTTTTCAGCAACAGTAAATAGCTTTAAGTGATGACACCTTGCCTTAGGTGGATCTATATTTTGACTAGCAGGTCTCGGCATTGTTTCCACCTCAGATAGCTCTCCAAAATGTTGCATGTAGACAAAAAAAAATGAAAAGAACTTAAAGGAAAGAAAAATAAAAATTCTATCACTCTAAACAGTGTTAGGGTATAATACCTCTAAGTTATTAGCTAACCTATTGCAGCAACCTCTAGTCATCTCATGATTATCTCTATGGGTTCTAAATTTTTCTTGATACATTTAACAAAATCTCATTTGGTGATGCTCTAAAGAAGGAGGTGGTGGTAAAATAAGACTTGGGACTGAGAGAAGAGCATAAAAAAAGCAAAATGCAAAAGAGAAGAGTCTGAATCAATCACGTGTAGGATGCACAGAATCACACCTGATTTCTATATTACTTTGTTTTAAACAGCATAATTTAGATTCAAATTCCTGAGACATAGGAAGGTACCCACATTAGGATATCTTTTATTTTTATGCTGAAGCTCAAAACGTAAACTGATGAAAGACCTTTCAAATTCACCAGAAGTGAATATTCATATATCTGAGAAATTAAATACTATCCCAAGAAACATTCTGTAACCACACAGATTTTCATAATGTGAGGGAAATCTATGATTCTGAAACATCCAATATTGTCTTTAGTCTGCGTTTATATTGCATGTGATACAAACTTTCCCCAAATTAGAACATGAGAAGATTCATGTCATTAAAACATTTCAGAAATAGCTGAATTCCCTTGCGTACTCATAAGGTATAAGCATAGTATTCATTTGCTTCAGAATCTTGTGAAATCTCGGGTTTATCTCTTATCATTGGACAGTGTGTAAGGACTATGCTGATTACTGAGCTTCTTCTTGTTTGAATTCTGGGAATACGGAAATTTGCATTATGTTGAGAACTAATTTCCAAGTCCTGAGGGGTGGCTTAGAAATGTTTTGCATGAAAGCTTATATACTATACCCCCTTCTTTAATAATTCGTCCAATTTCTAGACAGAACTATGTCAAAACTCAACCTTCTGAAATGTGCTGGGTGCTATCAGGACTGAAAGTAACACTGGAATTTGACATTAAAATGTGGCCTATTTAGAGAGACTTTTCCAAAGCACGGGATTTTAAAAACACAGAGTAGAAAAGTCACTGGAGGAATGCCCCCAAGTATGTGGGGGCGTCTGGGACACTTGTCATTTTATTGCACGTCTGCAGTGTTCTAATATGGGCAGCAGGGGGAGCTCCTGATTGAAGTAAACCCCCCCAACACGTGTTTCCTAGTTGGGAACACAGGCTTTTTCCTCTTAGCACTTGCCCCAAGTCCAAGGAGGCAGACACTGAGGAGTACTGCTGTCAATTAACTGTACAAGCTTAAGACATGTGGTGAATGAATTGCTGAAGTGAACAGGGATGACACATGGGTCTGAGCCTACCTTTTAGAAACAGGGTGGCTAATCTTTATTTTGGTGGACAGGAGGGGTTAAAGGAAGCAGCAAGCAAAGGAGCTGGGGCAGGAATGGGGGATGGGGGCTTGCCACTAACTGTAAACAGTGATCTTTGAAAGCAACAAGTGGGCGTCAGTATTCCAGGGCCTTTATTACAGTTTTGTTTATAAGCTATATTCTCCATTAAATGTCAAATCAAAACTCTCCCCTCTTCCCTTGAGCCCACATCAAATCCAGAAAATCACTTGATGAGCTGTGTTTATTTCTGAGCCTTAGGAGATGAGGCTTCTGTAGGGGGTCTCCTGCACGTGACTGTGTTTTACACATGAATGTGTGATGCGTTTTACTCCAAGTATCTGAACCAGGTTAAAAAAATCGTTAGGGACCAGAAAGAGCCAACTCTCTAACCTCAACACAGGGGATTCTAGGGTGAAATTCCATGCCCTCACCCCCACCTCATACACATACCCAGGCACACCCCCACCCCCAATAGCTGGCTCATTTCTCCTTCCTGTCCCCAAACGAAAGTCTGCAAAGAAGTAGTCATAAACATCAACACTCACCATATTGACTTCAGAAACCATATCGATGCTGGCAATGTCAATGTTCATTCCCACAGCCACGGGGGGACCTGCAAAGCAAGATGGCCAGCCACATGATTTCTTTGAACTTCATTCATTCTCAGCAAGAGTTATCCCTGGGCATAAGATACTCTACCTCAAACCCCTCTGCACTACTCACTCAAATTTTTCAATCCTCTGCTTTTTTGTTTAAAAAAAAAAAATTTTTTTAAAGTAGCAGGCACACACTTGTCTAAGAAATGCTGTATTGAATATGCACGCACGTATGTTGTGAACAAGGGATTCCAGCTCTGTCTACATATGCATATGTCTCAGCAAGTGAATGCACACAACTCATAGAAGCACAAGAATCCTTCTAGCCTCAGGGATTTTTATATTTTGCGCTGAAACCCCCTCCTCCTCAGTCTTTCCCACCCCCTTCTGTGCACAGGTTTTAACTCTTTGAGCTTCATAAGAGTCTGAAGCAATATTAAATAAGTCTATCAGCATATCTAGGGCTGCAGGCAGAGAGAGGTTCTTCTTTCCCCTACCCTCTCTAACCCTCCCATTTTCTCCCTACCCTCCCATCCCCCAGTCCTCCCCACTTCTGTGAGGCTGGGAGGAGTGGATTATATCCAGACATGAGCCACGGTAACCATGGCCAGAAGAACTCTTCCAAAGTAGGCAGGCACAGGGGGTTAATGCCACCTCTCAACCAACTGCCTGCACATATTGTCCTAAAAAATGTTCCTCGGTGGCCTTCTGTAAGCCTGGTTCTCTCGGCACACCGTTTACTAAACTTAAGAGGTTTATATCTCAACAAAGCAAAGACAGGGAAGCAAAGGATTCTTAACAGTGAAGCTGAAAGATAGCAGTCACCAAATTTGAGTACACACTAAGAGGGTCTCATTGAAAGACCACGCTAGTGCTGGGTAGCAACAATCCAGCTTAAGTTTTGATCAGTTTCTCAATATGGTAACATAGAGACACATTCAGTACACCACATGCACCCACAACTAGGGAGAGGGAAGAGAGCGCGCACAAAGCTCAAAAGACAGCTTCGGCTGTGGTTAGACTCTTTCTTATTTGCAAGACAACCCCATTACCTCCAAAATCTGGTCTCAGACGAATGTCATAGCCTTTCAGGAGTCTATCCACCGTCTCTTTAACCAGCGACATATTACTAGGGTCATTGACACTAAAGAAAGAAATGACAATAAGCAGGCATCAATAAGGAACAGGCACAGCATTTTCAGCATCGGATCCCTACTACATTTCCCTGCTCAGAGGTATGCAGACAGAACCCTTCAAAGTGAGAACGGAGAAAAGAAACGCTGGGCACACTTACCTCTGCGCACAGACAGCGGCGATTATTAAAGGGAAGGACCAAATCCCAAAGTAGCCCCTTTTCCGGACTCTCCACATCCCTTTAGTTTTTGATGGAATTGAGGGTTTCACTGAAGAGAGGAGATCCAACTTAGTCTGCCCAGTGCAGTAATTCTAATGTGAGGCGCATGCGCACGGCGTACCAAAACATCAAAGGGGAAGCGGCGGCTGCCGGGGATCGAGCAGATTTCCTTGTTTAAAAAAAAAATTAAAAGGAAAAAAGGAAAAGCTCATATATGTATAATACATACATATTTGAATAATACAGAAAAGTCACCCCACAGCAGCATCCAGAATAAAATTTTTGTTGTTATCCTTTCGTTAAGACAAAATAACTACAGCGTCTGGTAAGTTTCGGTAGTTGCAGGAGGCAGTTTTGCACCTAGCGGGTTGTGGGTTTTTGGGGTGTGTGTGTGTGTGTGTGTGTGTGTGTGTTCTTTTAAATATGCAAAACCAGATTAGAAAATTAGAGAGCAGGTGTAGGGTGCCAGCGGAAGATGGGTGCCGGTAAGCCCATTTCTAGTCTCAGCCGGACACAGGGGCAAAGGAGTTTGAACTTTATTTCCTTGGCAAATAGCATGCCCTGCCTGGGGCCAGACAGGGATGGTGGGGGGACGGGGGATGTGCGGCGGGTGGGAGGAGGGGGGAGGGGGCGTTGGGAGTTGAAGCGGGAGGGAGGGAAAAACCAATGGGAGGAAAGCTGTGCAACCCGTTGGATTTGGGGCGGGGGGTTGGGGAGGCGGGTACAGAATAAGAAAGGCACGGAAAAATAAAAAAAGGAAGAAAGGGAGAGAAAAGAAGAATAAAATAATGGCTGGTCTCTTCTAGTAGTCAAAGAGCAAGCTTTTCTTCACTACTCACGAGCGATTTCTTTCTCCTCTCCTCACCCTTTGCCCCCTATTGCCAGAGAAGAAAACCTCGGGGTCCTGTTTTCTCGCCGTGTGACGTTCCTGACCCGATAGTCGGGGTTATTTATAGCAGGAGGGGAGGGGGGCGAGGGGAGCAGAAAGGCAACGCTGTCTCTCCAGGTTTCGGTCTGATTCTGCAGTGGGAATTATTAGTGGGCAGGGTGGGGTTTGGATGAGGGGGAGATGAGACGTGGAGGCGTGAGAGATGCGGGTGACGAGCGCCCTAGCGCAGGTGCGGGGGACTGGAGGGCGTGGGCGACAGCACAGCGCAGGAAGGGCAGGTGGCCGGGTGGGACGCGCCCGGGCCGGGACCCCGCGCCCCCTCCGCTGCGCGCACCCGCGCGCACACACGTGCAGGCGCACTCCCCTCCCGCCATCCCTGCTTACCTCGCGGGCCCGCGCTCGCCGCCCACTCCGGCCGCGTGCTGAGCTGGTGCCCCCGGCCCCTCGGCCCCTCGGCCCGGGCAGGGGACAGGGACTCCCGGCGGTTCAGGGGCTGTACCTCTGAATACAAGAAGCCCGAGCGGTCCCTAGAAGGCAGGCAAAATGAGGAAGAGCCCCCCGACCTCCGGAGGCACTGTATTCTCCCGCGGTCTCCGCGCCACCTCTTCCTCTTCTTCCCTTCCCCGGGCCCAGGGGACTCGCACACCCAGAGGCTGCCTCTTCCCTTCCTCCCGGAGCTCAGGCCGCCTCGCCGTGGCCGCCGGGACCCGGAGGAGGCAGCAAGCTTGGGGTGGGGAATTGGGGGAGGGAGATACTCAATTCACAAAAGAAGTCTTCCCTCCGCTCTCGGGAAAGAGAGGCGCCACGGGCGGCATGAGGTGCTACGAGTCTGGGGACACAGGGCCGTCCGAAGGAACCCGAGTCCTAACCAGTGGCTCTCCGAGTACTCCTGAGTTTATCTTGGAACGGGGGAAGAGGCGGGTAGAGTAGTTGCTCCCGCTACCCCTCCCCCCACCCCACCCTGGGTGAAGAACTGGAAAGGCCAGAGCTCAAATCTCTGTTCTGGACCCCAGTGCTTAGCCTGTCGATGCTGCTGCCAATCATGGTCACTATTAAGTGAGTGCCTACTGCGTGCTATAGCGCTGCATTCATTAATTCTGGCAACAGTTCTAGCGTTTAGCTATCACTTCAGTGTCCCCATTTTATAGATTTAGAAATTGGCGCACTGAAGCCAAGGAGATTGCCCAAGGTCACTCAGATGGCATGAGGTGAAACCAGGGTTGGATTTCAGAGTCAGCGTTCCTAACCAGTGAACTAGACAGCCGAGATTCCGGAGTCTCCTGAGTCAGCGACCTTGCCCGCTGCCAGTGTTTTGCTGCGGCGGGCCAAGCTCCCGGCGCCCGCGGAGCCCGTGGCGGCTGCGGGTGGAGTTGCGCGCGGATCGCACCAGCTAGCCCCGGCCACTGCCTGCGGAGAAGAGGGGTCGCCGGCCCGCAGAGTTGGCGGCAGGTGGCGGGTGTAGCTCCACAGGTTTGCGGTCCGCGCAGCCCTGGGGGCTTCTCAGGGTCCGGTTCCGTGCTGCACTCTTGACCCACTTACCTTCTGATAACCTTTCCCCTCCCCCACATTGGTCAGAGGGTCATCTGGGGGCAGCTTGTGGAGATGACTCCAGGGGAAGTGTGGAGGCGCGAGGGCTGTGAAAGGGGGGAATCCGACAGTTCCTCTAGGTTGGATGATAAACGGGAAGAGAAAGCTGAGTTCCTTCACCGACCAGAGGAGTTTCTAGGTTAGGAACAGGTAAAGCCCAGCACCGTGAACACAGTGCTGATATGCCGCGCGGCGCTCTACTAGACTCCCAGGCTCATAGGAGTCCATCCAAAGACACACGAGCGCGTACTCACACACACATACACACGAGGGTGGAGGCAGGAAGGTCTGTAAGTTTCCCATCTGTAGTTACTTGGGTTTAGCGTTACCTCAGAATGTAGAACTATGGCCAAGGAAAACTGCTGATTTTCCTTTCTCTTTACTCCTATACACAGTGAGAATCCTTTGCACCAGCTGAGTAGAATGATGGGGGGGAGTGGAGCGACGGGTGAGGGGTGGTTAGGATATTATCAGCATGATGTCCAGAAGATTCCCAAAGCAGTTTAGTCCCAAGTAACCAAATGATGAAGCCCTAAAATGTTCCCCTTCCCCTCGAACCTCTAACACATCTCAAAATAGGGTTTTCCTTCTGACCTTTAGTTACTCACGTTGTTCTTTCTGCAGCATCAGCCCCTTCTACCTAGGCTAGCTTCAGTTTGGGTTGAAAGAACAAGATTCAGCAGCCAGAACAAACCACAAATACTGTCACCCATCTATAATGATGATGATAATAGTAATGGCCCAGGGAGTGATGAAACAAGTTTGTATAAAACGTCTACTATATACAGAAAATTAAGGAAGAGAGGGGCAAAGAGTTAAAACGAAAGTAGCTTGCATCTCAGCAAGTAAAACAGTGTAGTGTAAAGTGAGAGCATAAAAGAACTGGAGGTAAATCTTTGGGTTCAAAACCCAGGTCAAATACTTAGTAACTTTGTAACTTAGGAAAGTCATTTAACCTCTAAGTCTCAGGTTCCTCTTCTGGAAAACTGAGAAGGAAAAGAATACCCTGTCCATTGGATTGTTCTAGAATGAAGTAAATACATGTGTAGTATATTTGGCTGTGATTAATAAATATTAGTAGTGCTTTAATGAATAAGACATAATGAATGAACAGGAAAACAAATAAGGTTTAGTGGCACTCAGGTATAAAGACTGAATAGATATAGATTTGGTGCCATTATTATTATTGTTATTATTTTAGATGTACTTTAAGTTCTAAGATACATGTGCAGAATGTGTAGGTTTGTTACAAAGGTATACACCTGCCACGGTGGTTTGCTGCACCCATCAACCCGTCATCTATTTTAGGTATTTCTCCTAATGCTATCCCTCCCCCAGCCCCCCAGCCCCTGACAGTCTCTGGTGTGTGATGTTCCCCTCCCTGTGTCCATGTGTTCTCATTGTTGAACATCCACTTATGAGTGAGAACATGCAGTGTTTGGTTTTCTGTTCTTGTGTTAGTTTGCTGAGAATGATGGTTTCCAGCTTCATCCATGTCCCTGCAAAGGACATGAACTCATACTTTTTTATGGCTGCATAGTTTTCCATGGTGTATATGTGCCACATTTATTGATGGGCATTTCAGTGGGTTCCAAGTTTTTGCTATTGTGAATAGTGCTGCAATAAACATACGTGTGCATGTGTCTTTATAGTAGAATGATTTATAATCCTTTGGCTATATACCCAGTAATGGGATTGCTGGGTCAAATGGTATTTCTGGTTCTAGATTATTCTAGAATCTAGAATCGCCACACTGTCTTCCAGAATGGTTGAACTAATTTACACTCCCACCAACAGTGTAAAAGCATTCCTATTCCTCCATATCCTCTCCAGCATCTGTTGTTTCCTGACTTTTTAATGATCGCCATTCTAATTGGCGTGAAATGGTGTCTCATTGTGGTTTTGATTTGCATTTCTCTAATGACCAGTGATGATGAGCTTTTTTTCATATGTTTGTTGGCTACATAAATGTCTTCTTTTGAGAAGTGTCTGTTCATATCCCTTGCCTACTTTTTGATGGGGTTTGTATTGTATTTTCCTGGTGAATTTGTTTAAGTTCCTTGTAGATTCTGGATATTAGTCTTTTGTCAGATGTATAGATTGCAAAAATTTTCTTCCATTCTGTAGGTTGCCTGTTCACTCTGATGATAGTTTCTTTTACTGTGCAGAAGCTCTTTAGTTTAATTGGATACCATTTGTCATTTTTTGCTTTTGTTGCCATTGCTTTTAGTATTTCAGTCATGAAGTCTTTACCCATGCCTGTGTCCTGAATGGTATTGCCTAGGTTTTCTTCTAGGGTTTTTATGGTCTTAAGTCTTACATGTAAGTCTTTAATCCATCTTGAGTTAATTTTTGAGTAAGGTGTAAGGAAGGGGTCTAGTTTCAGTTTTCTGCATTTGGCTAGTCAGTTTTCCCAACACCATTTATTAAATAGGGAATCCTTTCCCCATTGCTGGTTTCTGTCACGTTTGTCAAAGATCAGATGGTTGTAGATGTGTGGCATTATTTCTGAGGCCTCTGTTCTGTTGCATTTGTCTATATGTCTATTTTGGTACCAGTATCATGCTGTTTTGGTTACTGTAGCCTTGTAGAATAGTTTGAAGTCAGGTAGCGTGATGCTGCCAGCTTTCTTCATTTTATTTAGGGTTGTCTTGGTTATGCGGGCTCTTTTTTGGTTCCATATGAAATTTAAAGTAGTTTTTTGTAATTGTGTGAAGAAAGTCAATGGTAGCTTGGTGGGGATAATATTGGATCTATAAATTACTTTGGGTAGTATGTCAATTTTCACCATATTGATTCATCCTATCCATGAGCATGGAATGTTTTTCCATTTGTTTGTGTCCTGTCTTATTTCCTTTAGCAGTGGTTTGTAGTTCTCCTCGAAGAGGTCCTTCACATCCCTTATAAGTTGTATTTCTAGGTATTTTATTCTCTTTGCAGCAATTGTGAATGGGAGTTCACTCATGATTTGACTCTCTGTTTGTCTATTATTGGTGTATAGGAATGCTTGTGATTTTTGCACATCGATTTTGTATCCTGAGACTTTGCTGAAGTTGCTTATTAGCCTAAGTAGATTTGGGGCCAAGACGATGGGGTTTTCTAAATAGACAATCATGTCATCTGCAAACAGAGACAATTTGACTTCCTCTCTTCCTATTTGAATACCCTCTATTTATTTCTCTTGCTTGATTGGTGCCATTATTATAAGTTAGCCTGATAATAAAGGAGCAGACATTTCATGGCAGTTAAGGAAGGGTGAAGAAGAAGATGTATTAAAAATCCAAGCAGCAATTAAACAGAGAAAAGATGAAGGAATATATTTTCTCTATGCAATAACATCTCAGGGATATCCTTTACCAACAACAGTAAGTAATTTAATTAAAAATACATTTCTGGCTGGGCACAGTGGCTCATGCCTATAATCCCAGCACTTTGGGAGGCCAAGGTGGGCGGATCACAAGGTCAGAAGAACAGACCATCCTGGCTAACACGGTGAAACCCTGTCTCTACTAAAAAAAAAAAAAAAAAAAAAATAGCCAGGCATGGTGGCACGCGACTGTAGTCCCAGCTAGTCCGCAGGCTGAGGCAGGAGAATTGCTTGAACCCAGGAGGCGGAGGTTGTAGTCAGCCAAGGTCGTGCCAGTGCACTCCAGCCTGGCGAGAGTTAGACTCCGTCTCAAAAACAAACAAACAAACACACAAAAAAATTTCTACTAGTTACAAAACTAAGGTCAACTTACACCTAAAGTGAGTCTCAGTCATACAACAGGAGCAACACTGGCCAGCTATCTGGACTACTTTGCCGACAATACTGCCTCAGAAGATGCAAAATGAGAACAATAACGTGCAATCTGGAGATGTGTTAGTTGCTGAAGAGTATCCTCCATGATCCCAAATGAGTGAGAAAGCAAAATGTAAGTACTCTTAACAGGTCATGTTTCAAAATCATCTCAGTATGAAACATATAAATACAAATTTAAAAAGTCACCAACCATCTTCCATTAGCCTTAAACATAATATGGAAACATTATTCAGTAAATATGTAACAGTCTCCTAATCTTTTTCAAAATTACTTGACAAGTACTGGGGGATGTGGTGTGGAAAAAGCAAACATGTGATCCTTATCCTCTTGGATTGTAGTGTAG